CCTTGGTTTGCATAGCTCAGGTTTCAGAGTGTCCTGGAAGAACCTCACGCAGCCCTTTCACTAGTACGGCACAGCAAGGAGGAGAGCATTGTGTCAGGCAGTGACCCCACTCCCTGTGCTGGCCCCATAGCTCAGAAGCCTTCTCCCTGCACCTGCTCTTCATCACCAAGAAGGCTACGGCCAAATAAAAGTCTCTGACCTCCCCCAGCGTTCCCCTTCATGTCAGACACAGACCCCAACCCCACTTGTCATCCCAGAGGGTGAAAATTTCCTTTATTAGACGCTCTGCTAATGGCCCTGGGTAAAGACATCTCTCCAGGGCTCAGGAAGGAGGGAAGGGAGGGAGAAGGTGACACATTGCATCTACAAAACAGCAGCCTCCCTCCCCTAGATACAGCCGCCCTTGCCAGCCCGTCCCCAGCTCTATTCAGACAGCAGGACCTACCTCAGGGATGCTCATGGGCTCCCAAGAATCCAGCTCTGCACCTGAACACATACGTATAAGCAACAGCTCTGTTATCTGTCCTCTCGTCAGAGAAAGAAACAGTGGATTGCGAGTGAAAGTGCTGGTAAGGAGGGCTCTATCTTTCCCTTGGTTATTTTGCGATAAGATTTATTGCTTGCAGGCACACCTTTCTTACTGGCTGCCAAAGAAGCCAGTTAGAGTGACAGCAGCTCTAAGACAGAGCGTGCTGTACCCAGGGTGAGTCCAGGACCTTGTGGCCACCAAAGGCATCTCCAGGGGGATGGACAGAGGTGCTGTCTCTGGTTCCTGCGAGCCTCTGCCCACAGGGAGGTCCCTAGCCCTCGCGGCACAGGGTCAGCACCACTGGCACCCGTGTGTGTTTCAGCAATGAGCACTGCCCTGTGTTCACAGAGATCTCACCCTGCCAGGTCTTCACTACCTCCTACAGCTCCACTTCAACACCGGAGAAGGGGGACATGGTTGTTTTGTGCCCTCCTTGACCGACAGGGGTTGTGAGATGAGTCTAAATCCTCCCCAGGAGTTGCTTCTCCCCAAAATCTAGTGAGCTCTGGGAACCAGGTGAGCCTAAATGTCTGCAAGCATGGAGATGGGCAGAGCAGCTGATTCCCCCTCCCTGCCAACACTGCAGAGGGTTGGAGAGCTGACAAGACCCACCAGCTCTTGCTGGCCTCTACCACAGCACGTGTGGGGCTCCTCCAGGGCTCCTGGCCTGCCAGGCAGCAGCAGACCCTGTGGCCCAGCCTCCTTGCAACATGGTGTGGACACCACACTTGCAGGAGGACCCCAGCACAGCTTTTGTGATGGTGCTCAACCATAACATGTCCTCCTGCCTCTGGCTCCCCTTCAGGCCAGCGCAGCCTCATCTGCCTTCACCCAATGCTTTGGTCTGGGGTCAGCATCCTCTCTGGCTACAGCTACCTCCATGCTACAGGGGTTCCGCAAGGCCCTCAGGTTTTACCTTAACTTTTGGGGTTATGAACGAGGTTTGGATAGTTCATGGCAGTAGGTGAGCAATCTCGCTCTGCTCCCACCGGTATCAGTCACTCAAGGGGAGAGCAAAACCTTGCATTAGCTGAGATGTTTGTGGAGACCAGCTCAGTGCCAGGACACCTGTGTAGGGAGACCCGGCCCGTCAGGAGCTGCCCACGGGGAGTGGACTGCATTTGTTTGATTATGGGGCTGCTGGATGCTCTCTGCTTTTATGCCCACCAGGTGCTCTAGAGCTTGTGGTGATGTAACTACAGCGGTCATCCCAGGATTTCGGGGTGGGGAGGCTGTGCTAAGTGCTTGTGAGCCCTTGCCCCTCATGTGATTTCCCTGGGGCCAAAGCAGGGGAGGGTGCCAGTGATATCCATCTTGTCGCTGGAGAGACGGTGTTACTGGTGTCACCGGTGAGATGTCACGTCTGCTGAGACGCAGAGCCTGCAGGGCTCCGGGACAGCAGCAACGTCACCGCAGACACAAAAAATCCATAAATGCCCCAAATCAAGAGTGACCTCAGGGCCTGGCCTGGGAGACAGGCCCTTGGTAAGACAGGTAATGGCAATAGAGACCTCCACCCCACCCCAAGAGGAGAAAGACTCCATGTCAGGGTATTACAGGAACATAAGAGACCCACTGCCCCTGTCAGGCATGGGAGAGAAGACCGCAAGACATGAAATGTGGGAAGAGAGGGAGGATGCCTCATTCCTTCCTGGCTTCAGAAGAAATCCTGGGTGCGCGCCTGGGGAGCCAGGGACACAGCAGCTGTGCAGAGTGGCCCCTGTCTTTGCCCCAAATGGCGTTTTCCTGACAAAAGTGCATGGTTCAGCCACGTCTCAGCCTGTCACATTCAGCTGTTTCCAACCACCTTTTGTTTGCCTAACGCAGAGGCTCAGCGAGGTCAGAGTGAGGTTGTCCAGAAACTGAAAACAAAACGGTTTCCAGGCTTTAGGAAAGCAAGCTGCTTACCAGGGAGGAAAGAGAAAGACCATGAGAAAGACCTTCAGACTGAAGATAATAACACAAGGGGCTGTAGGGTTTATTGGGTGAAGGAAGAAGCCCAAGGCGGGCAGCTCCAGCCAGCTAAAAAACAGGGTGGGTTTCAGCTTCGCAAATGCCACTTGCATTTCAGCAAATCAGAAATGCTTTTCAGAAACACGGATGGATGCTGGCCTGTACGCTTAAACTGCGGCGTGGTGGGGCACCGTGCAGCCCCCCGTGGGACCACCACCCAGGTGAAACAGCCTGCCAGCAGAGAGGGCAGATCATGAGCTGCAGGCAGCAGGCAACTCCCGAAGGACTGCCTTTGCGCAGGCGACTGCCTTCCCCCTCATTCTAACCTGAAAGAAGCACGGGAAGCAGAGTGACCAGGAGAGTGTGTGCTTTATTACTCACAAGGAAGGTGCTGGTTAAAATCACTCTGCAAGTACTTGTTGAAGTTTTTCAGGCAGAAGTCAAAACACTAAAAAATAATCCCCAAACAGAAAATTAAAATAGTTGTGTGCTGTATTTGTTATCCTGGTGGTCATTTTCCAGAGGAGTATTCAAAGCTTCTGGTATTTCTGCTTCTGCTGGTTTCAGCACCTCCTCTTCACCTATAAGGCACGTAAGAGACAGATCATTTCATATTGGGGGGCTCTCATGCATTGCCCCTCCATGTCGTGCTAAAGCCCCCGTGGCCAGGCTCCTGCGATTGTCTGTGGTGTTAGGTAGCTCCTGGTGGCCTGCCTGCTTTACAAAGGGCACGGCAGTCCCATGGAGTGGAGGGGAGTTGGGAGAAGGTAAAGCCCCAGTGGGTTTAAAGGCAGGAGGCAAACACAGCCCTGATGCTTGCCCATTTCAAGATCTCAGGGCTGGGAGCTGGACTGGTCTGATGTGCCCCAGTCAGCCCCAGTCTCCAAGATGCAGAATGATAGTTTTCCATGGCATGAGGGCATTGCACACCTTGCAATGACAGGCCTCTTCTCCCCTGGAACACACATTGCTGGAAATGCAGTAATCAGGGGTCAGGGGATGCTCACCTCCTCTGAAGCAGATCCTAGGTTTTCCTGGGTTTGAATTAACCTGCATGCCTGCATGCTTGGCCCACTGACTGCTAAAGTAAATGTGCTCTCCTCTTACCACACCAGATCTGGGAGCAACTCCTGCTGGCCCAAGCTGTGTTAGCTGTAAATGTACTTACCGAGCCCAGATGGCAATCTGCTGTTCAGAGCAGCTTAGTGCCCTCCATGCCTCAGTCCTGGCAGGTCCCAAAGGGGTAGTCCCCTGCAGACACCTACCCCTTGCCCTAGTGACCACCTTTCCCTCCCCCCCCATGCTGGGGCCAGCCCCCAAACCTGGTGGGCTGCAGACAGCCTGTGTCCAGGCTTTGGCTCTCCCTGACCAGCCCTGGCCTCAAGAGACCGCATCTTCTTTCCACAGCATCTCTGCCATAACCTGAATCTTGGCAGAACCAAGAGGTGTCCATAGGACAAGGAGCTATTTAGGACCAGGGAAGTCAAATTTGGTGGGGTAAGGGCCCGAGCCCTAGTGGTACCATGGGCTGGTGGTTGATAAGGTGGGCAACCTTGGCTGACAGCCCTCAAGAGGCAGAACTCCACTGCCCCCCGAGCCCCCCCAGGGCCAGCAGCTCTCCGGCAGCTCACCCATGGGATCCTGGCACCCGGCTACCAGCTCCTCCTCCACTGGTCCTGGTTGCATCCCACTGACCAGGTCCTGGATGGTCAGCATGGACGGCTGTTCTTGCACTGGCTCAGGCGGTGCTGGCCCGGAGGGTGCTGGCTCAGCCTCCTCCTGTGAGTCGGGCTGGGAGGCTGGCTCTGGTTCTGGCTCCAGGCTGGGCTCCACTGCTAGCTGGCGGCCCCGTCCTCTCCTGGCTCCTCTGCCTCTCCTTTGCCTTTTGCTCTTCTGCTCCCTGCAGAGGATTTCACAGGGGTGAAGAGTTGGGCATGGGCAGAGGACTTTCCCTCCTGCCCCAAAGATGCTTTGCTGGGCCCCTGGCTGTAATCACAAGCCAGTCTGTTGCAGCAGAAGCTGCACTTCTGCAACCCTCCTCCTCAGACCCGCATGGCAGCCTCCTGTGGCCGCACTGGGGAGGCAGGAGCTTGGGGACCAAATTTTTCCCTGGCTCTATACTGTGGTTGAGGATTGCTTGCCACCCAATCTCCCACCTAGGTAACCCACGCCCCATCCGTCTCTAACCCCCAACGCCTGCTGAAACCTTCAGCACCTACTGGCTGCAGGTCACCTTTCCCCACTGAAGACTGGGGCCCAGCTGGGCTCTGTCCTCGTGCAAAGATGGAGGTGCTGGGCTCAGGTTAAGTGCACCAAGAAAATGACAATAGAGCATAAGCAAGATTTACTTCAGAACCCACTGAATCGAGTCTTTCTCTTGAGCTTCTGCCTTTCTTTTCCGGAGCAGCTCCCGGTCTCTCAAGCGGCGGGTGATGATGACATCTACAAGGACAAATTGAGTGCTAACATGATATTCTGGCCAAGGGACAATTCAATCCCTCCCCACCTGGTGACAGAGCACTGATGCAAGGGTCTGTGCTCTTTCTGACATGAAGCGTGTCTTTATACAAAACTGCTTGGGCGCCGCCCTTCCAGCTCAGCCTGAGCGGGTAGGATCTGATGACGCACCACCAAAAGCTCCCAGGCTCCTGCACTGAAAGCTACTCTAAATTTCTACCTGCAGTTTTGTTCCTGCTGCTGCAGCCTTGGGGTGGCCCTTGTCCAACCTACTCAGCACTGGAGGGACCTGGGGCCTGATGGAAGCACAGGGCAGGCTTCCCGCGCCACCAGGATACCATGAAATCCTTTGGCCAGACGTCACTGCAGGCTGCAAGATAGTTTTTTGTGTTTGCTCCCTTTTCCCCAGATAGCTGCAACTGGCCAGAGCTGTGATTAAGATGTTCGTCTAATGAACTAACTGAGGAGAAAGCCTTCCCCTGCAGAACAGCCAGCCCTACAACATAAGAACAGGTCTGGGGGGACAAGGGAGTGAGCCAGAGGGCACAGGCTTTCCCCTACACAGATGCTCATGAGTATTAGGCTGAGAGCCTGCAGGAGATGGTGACCCAGCCAGAGACCAGAACTGGCCTAGTACAACCTGCTGGGGGTGAGGAGACCAGTCACGAAGACCACGTAAGCAGCCTCAAGCTGGTCTGCAGCTATGAGGAAGACCATGGCAGGGCTGAAGACAGACTTGACTCACGTGAGAAAGCTCCAATGCTGACTTCACCATTTGGGCAAGATGTGCAGGTTACCTCCAGCCACCAGGAGAAGCGGGCAAACCCCAGGTCCCAGTCACCCTCTTGCAATGCCTTCTCAGGCCAAGGTAAGCTGTGCTCATTTCACTGGCTGCAAAGGGTCCCAAATGGCTTCCTGAGGCAAAGACATCTCAGCCATCTACACCTGGACAAATGAATTCCTGAACTTCGATGAAGACAGCACTGAACTTCCTCCCCCATGCCTTTGCCCTAACAGACAACATCCCTGATGATGTGGCAATAGGTTTTGTGGTTTCGGATCCAGTCAGCCATGAATTTTCTAGCTTGGACTCCAGCCTGTGATAATAAAGTTGTGGCTTAGATCAAGTAGCACGACACTGCTCCCTTGAGACAAAAGGCGTTGCTCAGGAGCAACACCACTTCCCCGGGGCCCAGAGGGAGCAGGGACTCTTCCCACGCATACACTGATGAGGTCACAAAAGCACTGATTTTCATAGTTTCAACAAAACCCACGCAATGAAAAAGCAAAACTACGACCTGCTCCTTCCAGATGTAATCAGATCCAGTTCCTTCCACAAAAAGCCTCATCTTACATTAAAGTATTAGGTCAAATCAGTGAAGAATGGTCATTTTCTCAATCCCTTGTCCAGCTGGGAGAACTGGCAAGGTGAGAAGGCCTTCTGAGGCTGAGCTAGGAGTACAGCTCTTGTATCCCAGATGTCTGTTAAATGGAAGAAAAACGATGGTCCAGGACAGAAAAAAGCAAAACTGACAGCAGGACCGAACCTCTACCCAAAATAGATCTTTACACAAGACACTTCTGACAATTAATAATAATCTTGCAGAATTTTTGCTTTCTCTGTGCACCCCTAAAAAGAGTCTGGCTCTCCCTTCTCCGTAAACCCTGCTAGGCAGAGGATGACTGCAATGAGATCGCCCTCTCAGCCTTCTCTTTTCCTGGCTGAACAAGCCTGGTTTCCTCTGCCTGTCCTCATATGTCATCTGCTCAGCCTTTAGCAGTCTTGGTGGCCCTGCACCGGACTCATCCCAGTGTGCCTTTGCCTTTCCTGTGCTGAGTTGCCCAAATCTGGGTGTGGTATTCCAAGTGCTGGCTAATAATAACAATAGCCACCACCACAACCACAAAATAAAAAAGAATCCTACTTCCTGTTGTTGGCTATTAGTTTTTCTGTTCTTTTATTGCTCTTTCTTGCATGGCAGTTCCAGGAGCCCCTTTTGCTCTGATCACAGTAGAGCCATACTGGAGAAGACAGCTCCTCCACTAAAAAAATTCCAGCCTAACCAGGCCAAAGAGAAGGGGCACAGCAGGATGTCATACAGATGTGAAGGCCATGACAGCAGCCGAGTTTCTCAGTCATGGCAGGGGCATCTCAGCATGATGAGGGATGGTGTCAGCCTCTGAGACGAAAAAACCTGCGGTTGGACTGCACAAGGCACAGCTGAGTAGACATCCCCCAAACAGGAGGCTGTTCCCTGATTGTGAAGCAGTATCAGAGGCAGCAGGGCACAGCCAGCAGGAGAAGACTCTACTGTCCACATAGCAAAAGGCAGGAAGCTGCCTGGGAAGATGAGGTTACAAGTGGAGGTAGCAGGATCTGCACAGGCCTTCAGTTTAACTGCTGACGTGTATAATCCCTTGCACATCACTTTGCAGCCAAGGCAACTTTCCCTTTCAGAATGTCTTGTGAGATGTAAAAGCATTTTTAGCTGCTTGCAATCAGTCTCCTTCCCAACCCACCCTAAGCAAATTGTTTTGCACAGGTAGCAAACACCCCTCATTCACTTCTAACTGGTCCGAGAGAGCACTCCCACAGCCACTCCAAAGCTGTCTGTCACCTGCTGGCACTAGGCAGGAAAGATCACAGTAACACATCTGCATCCTGATGAAAAACTACTTAGCAGAGAACACAAAGATACAGCAATGAAATGAAAAGAAAGAAAATCCATCAAGCTAAGAGAACAATGAGACAGTATTGCCAGTCTGCAGACAATATATAGATGCGGCCTGAGGGACTTTGCGCTCTGAGTTGAAAGCCTTTATAGGTGCTTCTGCCTTTGAGATCTGAAGCACCACACAGAAAAAGCCACCTATACTTGCAGTTAAATGTGTATCGTCCATCCCCCAAACATTAACTCCTCTGTTAGAAACCACTGGTGACAAAGATCATTCTCTCCTCTCTCCAAAAACTCAAGTTAGGAGTGGTCTCATCGTTACCTGGCACAGCATACTCCTCACGGGCTGCAGAGGGTGGCAGGGAAGAGTCCGAATAACCATGGTCTTTGCCTACACTCTCCATTGCTCTTTGCAGTTTTAGGTAGAAAACGGCTTAGTTCCCTGGGAATGGCATCTGGAGATGCCGGTGCAGCATAATGAGAGCTTGAAAAAAATGCAGACTGCCCGCCCAGAACATCTTATCTGGCCAGGCCACTAGCAGGGCAATAATATTCTCCTTATCAGACTGCGAAGGTGTGTGAGTCGCTGCCCAGGATCTACTGTGTAGTTTGCAAAACATGGTAGTGCTTTTATACAGCAAATAATTCCACTTCAGATAGGAAATTTACACTTGCTGCTGTTAAGCTGTGACTCAAATGCCCTCCTTTATAGTAGAGAGAAGCAGGACGGCAGGGCAGGGTGCAGCACTGCCTCGCTGCTGGTTTCCAGAGTGAGATGCAATGAGGTGTTGTCAGCCCTTGAGGACCCCTCGTGAGGTCTGAAACGGGATGTATGCTGTTTGAAAGGCATTTCCACAAGACTCTAGCAGTGCTGGTGGCAAGGGACCTCTGTCTCCACTCCAATCCCCCTCACAGCAGGACTGCCTGCTGCATGAGGTCAGGTTGGCTGTGGCATCATATGCTTTGGAAACCCCCAAGACAAATTCATGTGACCTGCCCAAGGGCTGCACTGCCTTCATAGGAAATCCAGGCAAAATAATGAATCCATACCGGAACTCCAGCCAAGGGCCTGTGCGTGTCTGGGACTGCCCAAAGGCTTGTTGGTCCAGTACCCAGTGGATCAAGGCTTCGAGCAAAGCACTTACCTCATGAAGCAGGATCGCAATGGGCAGCCCCAGTAAAACCAGTGGGAAGACCCAGCTGGTCCCTTGCTCCCACTGGAGGATGTCCCTTAGTGGTTGCACCTAGCTCCTTGTTACCTGTTGCAGCCCCAGACCCTCACAGTGTGCAGGCTCATGCAGCCTCTGTAGACCCATCTTCAGGACCAGTACAGCTGTGAAGGGGAAGCTTCTGCTTGGTACAGTGGGTCCTGCAATCCTGCTCCCTTCTCTGCAGTCTTCATGGCTGGGCACCCCGGTCCGTCTTCCTTGGTTTCCTGCATGTGAGATGAGGTGGGAATCCTGGCCTCCTCCACAAACTGCCTTCAGAGTTTCCCATGCTGGGATAAGACAGAAAAGCTTAAGATTATACCTGCCCATAACATTTCTGCTGGACCTGAGACACATCATCATTTTGGCCAGTTTCTAACACACTTGGTGCCAGAATATTTAGGATTCAGCTTCTACCAGCACTTTTCTCCATGAGATACTCAACTGCTTATGAGACCACCTCTGGTGAGGTGCTAGTGTGCTTAACACACTTCCCCCCCTCCTCCCCAAATGAATTCAAAGTGGCTCCAAGGTTGGTAGAAGAACTTGACAATGTGTCTACCCCCAGGTCTTCTGTGAATAGCTCGCCTTTCGTAGCAGGGATGATCCCACCTCATTGCACAGTCCCAAGACTTGCCCTGGAGCAGAGCAGCTCCTCAGGGCTGAGCAGATCTGGCCTGCCTCCAGTTCTTGCCAGGCTTTTGGTGTTTTTTTTTAATGTACAGCCTTTGTTCTCTGCAAGTTCTCTCTCTAGGTCCCTGGAAGCTCCAGAGTTTGAAATTTTGGGGGGTGTGTGTGTTCTTAAGTTGTAACCTGGGGTTCCATGGGCATCTCTGCTCCCTTTCTGTTTATCCCTTGAGTTACCACTTAGCTCTAGGGATCCTCCTCTGTGTCCACTGCAGATTACATGGTACCTCCAGATAGGTGGGGCAGGTTTAACAGCCCCAAAAGAAGCAGCAGGGTGGTGGGAGCAGAGCAGATATGGGAAGGCTCTGATACGGGAGGATGGGCCAGGAGCATGGATGGCATAAAGAGATGTGAGGCTTCCAAGTCATTCACAGGGGGAGTTTCTTGTAGCTCAGTCACAAGTGAAGACCAGGTGTCCCATGCTGGTGAGGGTGTCCACATTCCAGCACTGTGTAATGCTGCACAGCCCTGGGTGTCACCCTGCCTCACACAGATGTCCTGAAAACTCTATCTTGCAGGATGATCTACCATGTAATGGCAGTGCTTGGGGAGGAGGAAAACATATCACAACTTGAATACTGTGTTCAGTTTTGGGCCCCTCATGACAGGAAAATCATTGAGGTGCTGGAGGGCATCCAAAGCAGGGCAAGGAAGCTCATGAGGTGTCTGGAGCACAAGTCCCGTGAGGAACAGCTGAAGGGACTGGGGTAGTTCAGACTGGAGAAGAGGAAGCTGAGGGGAGACCTTACTGCTCCCTACAATGACCTGACAGGAGGGTGTAATGAGGTGGGTGTTGGTCTCTTCTGCCAAGTAAAAAAAAAAAAGCGATAAGATGAAGGGACATGACCTCAAGTTGTGCCAAGGGAGGTTTAGATTAGATTTTAGGAAAAATTTCTTCACCAAAAGGTTGTCAAGCATTTGCACAAGATGCCCAAGGGTGTGGTTGAGTCCCCAGCCCTGGAGGAATTTAAAAGATGGGTAGATGTGGTGCTTAGGGACATGGTTTAGTGGTGGACTTGGCAATGTTAAGTTAACGGTTGGACTTGATGATCTTAAAGGTGTTTTCTAACCTAAATGATTCTATTCTATGATTCTGTATGTCTGTTCGTTGAGGGACATCACATCTGGAAGGGCTCTCACAAAGAGCTTCGTATATTCTGGGCTGCTTGCAGGTGGCATGACACATGGAAGAAAGGGTGGAAATCCCCGGGTGTTTCAGTGCTCCATGGGAACTGGGTGAATGCTCAGACTGTGGCTAACTCAGCTTCTCACACCCCACATCTCCTCAGTCGCTCCAAAGCCTGGTGAGGTCTGATAAATCACTCTTGACGCAGCAAAACATTGCCATATGACACTGTGGAGCTGGTACTCTGAGTGTTTCTGCATTCCAGCCACTTTCTAGCTGGGTAGAAACCAACAATTTGTAAAGAACTTTTGTAAAAGAAGGAGTCGTCGTGCCCTCAAAGTCTTTAGAGATGGTTAATGGAATAGATGGGCTTTAAAATCTCACAGAGCCTGTGTTTGCATCTCTCAGGACTGACATCCCTGTAAAGATTTGGCTTTGTGTGTGAATTACTTTAAATCCAAAGGAAGTGATTTTATTATGCCATGGGAAGGCTTTGGTGATGGATAGCAGTGTGGAAATTACAGACTCCACTGCCTAGCTTTGAGCTGTCTTTGCTTTAAAGTAGAGGGACTGAGAGGCAGAAACTCGCCCGCAATGCCAGGGACACTGGACTTGTTTTAGAGCCTGGTGTTGCTTCCCTGTCCCCCACCAGCACCAGCAATACAGCAGACTCTTCTCCAGCAGAGCTCCATAGCAGATGTGGCCAAAGCTGCATCCCCTTTGCTGTGGGTGAATTTGGGCAAGTAGGTTAAACTTTCTGGACAGTTGCATGAGCTGTTGCAGCTGGACACTTTACAGAGTGCCAGGCACTGCTGCCCTCCCTTTTCTCTCCACATTTCAGTTCAGCTAGCCCTGGGCCGCCTTCACTGATGCATCCAGTTTCCTAGGTGAGGACCTGGAGGAGCTCAACCAGGTGTCTAGCAACCCGAGCAGCTCCCAAGTCACAGACTCCTTGTGTGTCACTGGAGCTGCTCGGTAGGGGAGCACCCCCAAGCTTGGGTACATCTCACCATGCTGGTCCCCTACATGGCTTTCACTACCCAAAAGCCCTGGGAATGCTTTGTCCAAGGGACAGCTGGACCTAGGGCTGGATCCTGCCACCGGCCCTGTCTCCTGGTACTGTTGGGACTGCTGTCACTGCAGACACAGCCACACCAGGCTTTGGATCTATGTATAAATTCAAAGCTCTTCACAAGCAGCAATGCTATCTCTGTTTACACCCGTCTGGCATTGCTATTGCGAGGCAATATCCAGAGACCTGCCTATCCCTCCCTGCAGTCAGGGACACAGCCCTGAACCCAAGGTTATCTAGGGGATCAACATGGGCAGCTGGAGGAGCTACACCACTGTCACTCCAGCAGGGTGTCAGGACATTTCCTCCAGTTCTGCTTTGTATGACAATAACAGAGAAGCAATTTTCAGGCTTGTCCTTCACTCCCTGACTTGAGGCAGGTTTGGGGGCAACTTGCCTGGTTACAACATGCTTCTCTGGGAGCAGGACTACTGGTAGCTCCATGTGATGATGTATGGTGCCTGTGAAAGCAGGTGATCCCTTCCTCCCCTGCCTTGACTGAAATATGAAAAGGTGGGAAACGGATAAATTCAACAGGCAAAACTGTATGCAAAACTGCAAATCCATGTGTGTACCCCCTGCCACAGACCAGTGCATTGCAGGCGTCTTGCTGTCCACCAGCTGCCTCCCAAGTCTTGCCTGACCTTGCCAGATACAGATCCGCCAGGGTCTCTGCACCAGTCTGGACCTAGCCATCCTGCACCGGCCCCTGAGTCATTCCCTTCGCCTCCCCTCAGTCTGCTACTTCAGCCATGTGAAATAAACAGGCAAGTCCACCAGTTCCTGGGGAGGACAGGTATCTCTGAATTCACTCTGTGTAGAGTCAGTGCTGACCGTGCCCTGAGGCCGCCCACACCTTGACCTTGCAGGTCTGGCCCTCAGCTCTGCAGTTTCTGAATAAACACTCCCCGTTGTGCTGGAGGCATGCAGTTTCCCTCTTCAGAAGAGCCCCCAAATTGTCTGTGTTGTTTTTTCCTAGCCTCTGCAAATAAATAGCGATGGCTCTCAGGGGATACACAGCGATGGGCTGCAGCCACTCTGCCTGCACGGCTCGAGCTGCTGTGTGGGGCTGAGGTGCCGGTGCCCTCACCCTGGGGAGAAGGGGTCCCAGTTATCGACCATGCTATGCTGGGCATAACCTTCCCCTCAGCCCTGGCAGAGAGCTGGGACGGAGCTGGCCAAATACATCCTGCCTGCAGCTGGGTTGGCAGCAGCAGGAGCAGAAAACCCTAGGGGAGACGAGCAATGCATTTGTGTTGTTTACCATGGAAATGTTTTGGGGGTGATAACCCCACCAAAGCCCTTCCCCGTGGTGCAGGGGAGACACCATCTGGAGGTCTGCACAGAAGGCAAGACAGCAACACACAGCCAGACCACTTCTCCCTCACTACCTGAGGACTGGTAGGGGGCGAATGGGCTTGCAGAGCCCCAGGACAAACGAACAGAAGGTGTAATAGCAGCAGCTGGGGGCAGGTGGGCAAGCTGTGCCCACTCCTCTGCACCAGTGGAAAGGGTCCAGGGAAGGAAAACAGAGACAATTAAAGCTCTGGACAACTCTGAGCAACTAGCAAGGCTAGGACTTTTCAGCCTGGGGAAGAGCTTTTAACGAGAGAAAAGCTTTTAATTACAGCAGCCATCTCTGGGCCAGAAGACAGTGGAAGCCAGGTCAGGGGGATCTCTCATCTGACCAAGCATGGCTGTTTTATCCTCCTCAATACTATTTTGAGCTGCCACATTAAATCTATCAGCAATGGCTTTGTCGTGCATTACGGTGCTGTGGTGTCCCACCTGGTGGTTCCAGGAAGGTGCAGAACTGGGAGAGGTGCGTGGGGATGGGTTATGTGACCAGCTGGCAAAGCACAGTGGCCATGACACTGACACAGCTCCCGGATTCACAAGGTGGTCACTGACTTCAGGGAGCTCGCTTGACCATACAGTGCATCCCGGACCCTTACCCAGATGCCTGCAAAATGAGTCAGGTGAGTAGAGTAGCAAAGTCAGACCAGCATGATCCCTGTGGGTGAGCACAGGCCTGCCCTTGGTGCGTATCAGTTCACACTGAAGCACTTTTCAGAGGAAAAAGCTGATCAGGAATCTCAGACAGTCATTCTGTAGAAACACAACTGCTGATGCAGCACTGAAGTGAATTCAGGAGGCAAGTCCTGGATTAGCCAGTGCCCTCTGATCTCTGCCACTGCAAGCAAAGGGCATACCCAACTTGTACCACCTCATTGCAGATATTTCATGAAAGGTGAGTTGTGTCCCATCTGGTAGAAGTGGGAGGCGAACATGCAGAGGGAGCCCCAGGGACTGCTGATGCACACTTACAGTGTTACCTTGGTTGTGCCCTGCCACAGTCCCAAAGATGGTCCTGACACCAGGAGCAACCTAGACCTGAAATTTGGCAACCAGCTGGGAACCTCCAGTTCCCAGAGAGCATTTCTGGGTAGTTATTTCAGTTTGGAGGTTGCTCTCCAGTGCTGGAGCAGAGATCCCTGAACATTTCCCATGCTCCCATGTGTAGTCTGGGCCGATTCCTGTTGTGAAAAGCTCTTAGATAAAAGCTGAATAACACCTAAGAGGAGAAGTGCAGATATTACGGTTTTCACTTTATATCAACTCTGGAAGCCGTGGTGTTTAGTAGGGAGCCAGGGAGTTATCTTCTCCCACACTGAAGAAACTTTACTTTCCCTTTGCTAAATTGCCTCCTACAGAAAAAAAAACTGCACTTGTTCAGCACCTTCTTCCCCGGGATCTGTGTGTTTCTTGCTACTCCCACATGGCCTTTCTCACAGGAACGTGGGTGAAATAATGCAGCACAGAGCCCTGGTTTGTGATGTGCATTTGATATTAATGTTTTGACTGTATGCTTTCAGTAGCCCTTTGTGGGAAATGGCTTGTGCTGTTTTCTCTCAGCTTTGCATAAAAAAGTGTTGTTGAGATAAGATTGTGCATGTCATTTTATTATTCACCATTGCTAATTTAAATGTGCAATCAGCACAAAGCACACAGGATCAATTAATCACCTGCTTCTAGGCTCAGAAAAGCTACCAGAAAGCTCAGATATCTTGACACACCCCATCTTTCAAAATCCGTATGTCTTGCCTGGTTTTCCTAGAATAATATAGGAAAAAAGAGTTAGAGCTCAAAAAAATACTCCCTAAGTCATACTTTGGCTCCCATCCAGCCCATGGAATGAAGCTGACTATGATAAAATTGGCTTGCTCCTTTTGCTGTCTGAAAAGCTGAGGTGACTGCAAGTCATCCTGGCCCACAGGTGTCCCCTCCCTGGCCATGCAGCACTGGTGGTGTGTCTCCAGCCCAACCTGCTTGCAGCAAGGCTGTCCCAGCGTGAGGTTATGGTGGCCATGGCTCTGCCTAAGCCCTAGACACCCCTCCCTAAGGATGGAGAACACACATCCCCGCCTCCCTAGTGCACCACCCTCTTGGGGAAAGGGTTTACCCCATGTCCAACCTGCACCCTCTGGGGCTGCTGCTTGTGGCTGTTGCCCTGCATTGCATCTCCTGCTACCACCAAGAAGAGTGTGGCTCCATCCCATTTGCAAGCATATGCTGCTGCTAGATCCCCCCAAGCCTCCCCTTCCCAGACCATCTGGACACAGCTCCTCCACACCTCCTTGCAGCTTCCCTTCACAAGCTGGTCACCCCCCTCCTCCTGCAGCCCAGCACACATTTTGTGTTATTTGCCATGCAAGTGTACTGCCGACCTGTGTTCAACCTGATTTTCACCCTCAGTCCCTTTCTGGCAGAAACCCCTGCTCAGTCACTTCCCAACCTGGGTAAAAATCACTGCCCCAAAGCAACCCTTGTGCTTCTCATGAGGTCCCTCTTGCCCTTAGTCCTCAAGTTTATGGTGGCACCTTTAGTGTGAAGTTCTGCCAAAACAGCCATGAGGCACATAACTGGGCATCTGCATTCGCAGAGGTCCCTTTGAAGGACTTACTGGTGCTATTTGACTGTCTGGACTAGATGCCTAGTCGGCCTTTTTGCCTGTCTAAGTTCAACTCTTCCTTTTCTAATTGCAGGCAGCACAGACCGTGGGACCTTCCCCCACCCTCTACGGAGCATCTGGTTTGTTGCCAGCTTGCAGGCACTCATGTTGGAGGGTGTCCTGGCTGCGGATTCCTGACTTCACCTTCTGGATCTGCTGATCATGCAGGCACAGGGTGGTCTGATTGAGCAAGCTGATCCAATGGATGAATACTCAGCTCTTCTGTGGGATTAGTCCACTGCCAACACAATGAGCTAAATCCCTCAGCCTGCAGCTGCACGGTAGTCACTGAATGTGGTGCCAGGGATGGGGCAGGAACCTGCAGGCAAGGGCTGGGGGCACAGGCACTATCCACAGGCACTGCCAGCACAGGAGGGTGAAGCTCACAGGCTTCACAGCCCAGCACCTGGCTCAGCTGACATGAAAAATTCCTCTTCCACTTTGCTGGCAGGAACATGCGTGCCTCCTGTCCCTCATGATGGTATGCCACAAGCACCCAGTTTCAGACTGGCCAAAATTAGACCCTTGGAGGTCTCTGCCAAGGGCATGAGCTTACATTTGCTGCACACAGAGCTGGCATTCATTGGCATAGGTGTTCCCGTCGGTCCCACAGACAGGCAAGTGCAGGAGGGGGCAGGCCTGCAACTCAACCATGTCTCCACACACTGGCTGGAAAGGAGAAACCATAGCACACGTTTCAGGGCCAGCAGCACCCTCTCCTCCTCCCACAGCATCTGGGCAGGAGCAAGTGTCACTGGTGACCTGGTTCCCTCTGCCCTGGACATGTTCATGGTGTGAACACACAGTGGGAAAGCGGGGAGCAGAGGCCACCACATCCCTCAGTGGGACTCACAAACCTGGGCTTTGGTGCATGTTTGATGCTGAAGCACCAATACCTATGAGGCTGGGGATGATTTCTGGGAGCAGCCTTTCTCCCAAGTACGCCAAGCACTAAATCCCATCTCAGGCCATGAACAAGGAAAACCAGAAACTTCTTACCCTTCTCAGGCCATTCCCTTCATTCAGCTCTGCCCCTGGAACAGAGGAGAGACCCGTGAGCGTGGCATGCCTGTGACCGGCGGCAGGAGCAGAAGGCTTCGACAGAGGGTCACATCCAAACCAAAGGGAAGGCAGGGTTGTGCAGGGCCTGCTCAGGACCCAGATCAGTTGTGTGGTTTTCGTGAGGGGGCGATCAGCTTGCTGCATGCCACCCCCGCACCGTCCCAGCAGCACGGTGCACAGGCTCCATTGGCAGCTGAGCCATGTGGGACAAAGCTGGGAATGCCTGTTCCCACCCCTTAATCCCTCTCCTGACAGCTCTCTCTCCCAGTCTCTGGACCAGGAGCCCCACAGAGCATCCAACACATCCCAGGAAATGTGAACCCATGCAGTGCTGCAGGGGGACGTGGGGCATCTTCAGGGGGCTGAGGCTGGGTGACGTTGCACAGCTGGACAACAGCCATCCCCAGGGAAAGCTGCATGTGGTGGGTTCCTTTTCTGCAGTCAGGCAGAGCCGCAGCGACAGTTCACAGCCTGTCTGTGTGGTGCACGAATGTCCTGGGAGTGTGAGGGCTAACACTCGGGCTGCTGCAGAACCACCACTACCTGCACCTAGGTAGCACCAGTTTCCCAGAGCCTACAAAGAACTGCTTCCCACCTGAGTATTCTGAGCATGTAGTGCTCTTGCAAAGGCTTGCAGATCTTCTTGGAGGCAGGAATAACAGTAGCTACCACCTCAGTGTACTCCTGTCCTCCCAGACCCTGGTTCCCATTCGCATCACAGGCTGACCCCTGTCCCGTCCCTCTCCCAATGCAATATGGCCACCAAACCAGCCCGTAACCCTTTCCCAAACTGCTAATAATACACGGTGTGTCCCAGTCCTTCCCCACTGTGTTGCTGCTGTGTTTGCTTGCCCTCCCCACCTTCTCTCCAAACCGGAGTTTCTGGGTCTTTCTGCCCTCCCACCCATTTTTGGTCCCTCCATGGTTCCCAGCCCACCACCAAAGAGCTGGCTGCTGGCAGCAGAGCAGGCTTACCGACAGCAGTGACGAGAGTCACCAGTGCCACCACCACCACCAGCTCCCTCGCAGGCATGGTCAGTTCAGGTGCACACGCTCGTGCACCTCGCTCGGTTCATGGCTGCCTTTATAGGGGAGGGCACTGGCTTATCTCAGCAGTGCTGGGAAAAGCAGCAGCATTTTGAGCAGTGTTTGATCTGCGCTGGGAACAACTGGACTGTGCACCCAGAGGGATCACTTTGGTGCTCTCGTGCAGCTGATAAGCCACCCCTGTGCCACTTACCAGCTGCAGGTGCCAGCACTGGGGGCCGCTTTACAATCCCTTTGCTCTCTAGTCTGGTTTGGCTCTCTAGTCTGCCACTCCACTCCAGCCAGCCAGCTTACCACTGGATATATCTCACCTGAACCAGCCCTCAAGCTTTGCAGCTGCTGTTCTTCATATGTGACAGGTATCTCCAATTGGGTTCATAGAATCGTAGAATCGCAGAATCATAGAATACCAGGTTGGAAGGGACCTCAAGGATCATCTGGTCCAACCTTTCTAGGCAAGAGCACGGTCTAGACAAGATGGCCCAGCACCCTGTCCAGCTCCGTCTTGAAAGTGTCCAGTGTGGCGGAGTCAACCACTCCCCTGGGGAGATTATTCCAATGGTTGACTGTTCTCATGGTGAAAAATTTTCCTCTTGTCATGTTCAGTCAGAATCTCCTCAGGCTGAGCTAAACCCAGTTCTCTCAGCCTGTCCTCATATGGCAGGCTTCCCAGTCCTTTGATTATCTTGGTGGCCCTTCTCTGGACCCCCTCCAGCCTGTTCACCTCTTTTTTGTATAGCAGGGACCGGAACTGTAACACAGTATTCCAGATGTGGCCTGACAAGCACTGAGTAGAGTGGGATAATGACTTCTTTATCTCTGCTGGTGATGCCTTTTTTGATGCAACCCAGCATCTTCTTGGCCGCAGCAGCACTCATATTGAGCTTCCTGTCCACCAGGGCCCTCAGGTCCCTTTCCACAGAGCTGCTCACCAGCTGGGTGGATCCCAGCCTGTGGTGCACTCCTGGATTGTGTTTTCCCAGGTGCAAGACCTTACACTTGTCAGTGTTGAACTTCATAAACCTTGCTAGCCCACTCTTCCAGCCTATCCAGATCTTCCTTCAGGGTGGCTTTCCCGGAGTGTCTACTTCCCCACTCAATTTGGTGTCACTTCCCCACTCAATTTGGTGTCGTCTGCAAACTTCATCAGGCTACACTCGATCCCATCATCCAGATCACTTATGAAGATATTGAATAACATTGGGCCCAATATCGACCCCTGGGGGACCCCACTTGTGACGGGTTGCCAGTTAGAAAAAGAGCTATTTACCACCACCCTTTGAGTGTGGCCTGCCAGCCAATTCCCCACCCACCACACAGACCACTTGTCTAGGCCATAACACATCAATTTCTCCAGGAGGAGGCCATGGGGAACAGTATCAAAAGCCTTGGAGAATGTAGACAATGTCCACCACTTGCCCCATGTCAACTGAGCAGGTCACTTGATTGTAGAAGGCCACCACATTTGTCAAGCACAATCTACCCTTAGTAAAGCCATGTTGGCTTTTCCCAATCACGTGGTTCATTTGACTTGCAATAGCCCCCACCAGGATTTGCTCCATAACTTTCCCGGGGACTGAAGTAAGACTGATGGGCCTATAATTTCCTGTATCTCCCTTGAGCCCTTCTTATAGATAGGGGTAACCTTTGCCTTCCTCCAGTCCTCTAGAACATCCCCCAATCTCCACGACTTCCCAAAGATTATGGAGAGTGGCCTCACAATGACATCCATATGACCATCCTCACTGCCTCTTTCTGAGAAGCTGAATTTTCCACATCTGTCCCCACCTCCCTTTGGTGAGTCAAAATCAATTGGTGAAAGGTGAAGGATGGAAAACAGGACCACTGGATGGAAAGTTGGTGTCATAGCTGAAGGCTACTATTGACCAAAAACCAGAAGGCCTCCACCCTGGGACGGGATGGGAGGTGCTGGCAGGGGGTAGGTGTCCTACAGAAATGACCAGTGGGCTGGGAGAGCTCCAGGCACCCACAGCATGCACGTTTGCACTTGCTGAGGAGCTGACCATGACCGTGCTCAGGACATTTCTTCCCCACAGTGTCACCTGAGGCTTAGGAAGGTACACGCTGGTCCCAGCCGGCTGACTCAAGAGGGAACGGCTTGGTGAGCATCCTCCATGGCCAGAGGCACGCAGGCCTTGCATGAGGCTGCTTTCATCCTTGCCCTTGGGAGGTCCTTCCACTGAAATCAGCAGGGGTGTGAACAGGTTTTGGGAGGGGGGAAGGTGACCAATTCAGGGTTCCCCTTGCAGAACCATTCCTCTACTCTGCCGAGGTGGCTGTGCACATGTTTTATATTCCCTCTTCAGGAAGTTTACACAGTTCAATAACCTTTGGCTTTTATTATTATTCCACTTTGGAAATCCCTCAACTAAAGTAAATATTTAACTGCGTTAGCAGTTGTTCCCGAGGCACATGGGGGCCCATTGGGCTTGTTTAGTCTAGTACAGGGGAGGCCAAGGGGGGATCTGATAGCAGCCTACAACTGCTGGAAGGGCAGCTGATGGAGCCAACTTCTTGGTAGTGCCAGATGACAGAATGAAAGCAACAGGCACAAACTGCAGCCCTGAGATGTTCAGGTTGGCAGTTAGGAAAGAAACCTTACCCTGGAGGGTGAGGAACCCAGACCAGCAGGGAGGTGGGAGATCTCCATCTTTGGTGGGCTGTGTACAAAGCCACGGATGCCCTGACCAAGCCCTGCTGTGGATGAGGTTTGGTGGGAGAGCCCTGGAGGGCCCTGCCATCACCATGTTGGGTCCTGGGGACACAGCAGATCTCACTTTCTGGCACAAGCAGATACAGTTCCTGAGGCACTCACCTTGCAAATCTGGTCCCAGCCAAACTCAACTATGTGGACAACATAGGGCTACCTCTTGCAAACTGTTCTCACACCAACACTCAGCACAGCCCCAGATGAGGGCTATCATGGGCCTTTATGGTCTTCTTCAACATTCTTACTACCACCTGATGGTAATGCCTCCAGTGTCACTGCTCTGGATAACAATGCTGTGCTGGCCCCAAGCATGGCCTGGCTCTTTGGGTCATACTGGTGGCAACACGGGAGTGATGGGCTGAGGCTGTGCAGCTAGGATTGCTCTCCTTGGGTGGAGAATGGCAGGAAAAGTCCACATCCCCTTGGTGCCAGAGGCAGCAGGTCATGTGGTGCTGGGGAAAAGCTGTTGGTCAATATGAGGCTTGATCTTCCTCCACCTGGTTCCTCAGTGGTATTCAAATGCCGCTGCCTTCACAGAGCAAGTTAAAATGACATGCTAAGAGATGACAAAGGGGAAATCACCTCTTACAAACTGTTTTTGTCTTTTCCATGCTTTTTTTCTCAAGCCCAGGCTTGCAGCCCCTGATGAAAGTCCTGCTTTCTGTCCCCCTCAAAGAGGACGTGGGGAAATTCTTCCTCTGGTGGGACAGGATGTTTTCTGGTGGCTGCTTGCCTGCACATTGGCCACAGAGCTCCAGCTATGTCTGAGACAGTCACACATTTGAGCCCGGGCTTTCCTCCTCTGCACTGCTGGTATCACAAAGTGGGGGACCCTTCTGCTGTCCCTGGTGGGTCCCTGGCTCCCAGCAGCACATGGGGGAACTCCACCCCATCCCCCACATCTAGGGCTGCCCGTGGACTCGCCTCTGGCTTCTCCTGGGGCAGGAACAAGGGTGCTGGCTCTGCTGCCTCCTCCCCGCACCCCTGCCGGCTGCAGCCCTCCAAGGAGGGCAGGAGGGGCAGGTATGAAGGTCCTGGGCTTGCCTGCAGAGCTAGAGACTTCATCTCACTCACTGCCAGCAAGGCAGAGAAGCTCTGCTGGAGACAACAGTGACGAGGAAGGAGATTTCTACTTCCAAACCCGATCTCACGCTTGTTCCCCCGCGGGGTGTCCCCTACCCTTGTATTTGTTCCCACACACTCACTGGTACCCACCAGCCTGTGCCCATGATGCCTGCCTGGGATCTCTCATTGCATCATGAGTCCTTATGACGCCTTTGCCTCCCGGGTGGCCGTGGCACTGTTTGCAGACTTTCCATCTGGCTGGGCACAGATGACAGGAAGCCAAGCCATGTTGCATCACATTGCTCTTGCTCCACATCTGCCTGGTGGCCTTATCTGTGGTGTGGCCTTGGTGTCGTCACTGCTCCACCCAGAAGCTGCCGGTTCCTTGCTGTTATCTGTTTATTGCCTTTCCCGGATGTCACGGCTGCCCTTAGCCTCCTGGATTGCTGTGCTAGCACTGATATTTTAATTCCTGTTCTGCCGCTCCTCCCAGGGCTTTTGCATACCAGAAAATGCCAGGGTCACTCAAACACCACAGTACCCTGGGAGCAGGCGTGCATGGTACCTCATGCAGCCCAAGCCCAGAGCTTGCAGTCTATCCTCTCATTGCATGAGAGGGCAAGTCAAAAAGAGGAGGGCAAGTACCACACTCATTTTCATCCTTAGCTCCCTCCCTGCCTCAAGATGGGTTTTACAGAGACGATGATAGTCTCTGTTCTGCCTCTCCGCTCACCCTGAGGTTTGCCCAGGAGCAGAAGGATGAAGGACTGATTTGTTCTTCTCCCTTGCACACAGAAAAAGCAGAGATGGAGGTGTCCAGAGGCTTTCTTTTGGGTATACAGGGGAGCCATAAACCTTACATCTGAGGAGGTTTCCCTGTGTAACAGGGGCAGGGATCAGCATCACCATTTCCCACCATTATTACTGCGGTTAAATACTCCCATGCGACAGGCAGTGAGCAATGCCCATTATTTCTTCGAAGGCTCAAAAATTTCGCAGTGATACCATCAGCTGCAAGAGCACAAGACAGGGTGAGTACACAGATGAGTCCTCCTACCTGCTGATGCTCCCACCAGTGGAGGGGACAGGCATCGATCTGGAGAAGATCAGAGCTTCCCACAAAGCCAGACTGTGTGCTGGACCTCAGACGTGCAGCAGGCTGGGGAGAGCACCCACTTCACACCTTCTTCCCCTGCTTTGATTGCTGGCTGGAGTCTCTGTGGCTGGGCAGATGTTGCTGCAGCTCGCCTGGATCCAAGGATGCCTGGCTCTCCTCTCCCTTGGGTTTGCTTCTTGCCTGTTTGGACCTCTGGACTGCAAGACACACTCCAGATGCCTCTGTGATCTGCAAATGCCCTGCAGCTCCTTGTCAGCTTAGGGGTGGTGTTGACCTTCCTTTTCCCGTGTGCTTCCACATGAGGGACAGGTATCCAAATCCTCAGTGCAGCAGATGAAACAGCAGAAAACCATGGATTTACTTTTTTGTCAGTAAATGCTCAGCATGGGGTAAACCCAGCTTCTGTGCTGGCGCAAGTGAGGGGATGAGGCTGTGTGCCTGGGCTGGGTGGGCAGAGCCCTGAGCTAGCTGGGCTGGAACCGCTGTGGGACTGTGCCCTCCTGCTCTCAGCTGACATGGTTAACCTGGATGCTGGCAGCAGGGTGTCCTGGTTTCAGCTGGGACAGAGTTAATTTTCTTCCCAGTAGCTGGCATAGTGCTGTGTTTTGGATTTAGTACCAGAAGGATGCTGATAGCAGCCTGATGGTTTAGTTGTTGCTGGGTAGTGCTTAGGCTGACCAAGGACTTCTCGGCTCTCAGCTCTGCCAGGGGCACAAGGAGCTGGGAGGGGGCACAGCCGGGACAGCTGACCCCGACTGACCCAAGCCATACCCCACACCACATGACGTCATGCTCAGCATAGAAAGCTGGGGGGAAGAAAAAGGAAGGGAGGACATTTGTCATAGTGGCATTTTTTGTCTTCCCAAGTCATGGTCTAGGCTGGCCAAGGACTTCTCGGCTCTCAGCTCTGCCAGGGGCACAAGGAGCTGGGAGGGGGCACAGCCGGGACAGCTGACCCCGACTGACCCAAGCCATACCCCACACCACATGACGTCATGCTCAGCATAGAAAGCTGGGGGAAGAAGAAGGAAGGGAGGACATTTGGTGTGATGGCGTTTGTCTTCCCAAGTCACCGTTATGCGTGATGGAGCCCTGCTGTCCTGGAGTTGGCTGAGCACCTGCCTGATGGTGGGAAGCAGGGAATGAATTCCTTGTTCTGCTTTGCCTGCATGTGCAGCTTTTGCTTTCCCTATTGAACTGTCTTTATCTCAGCCCACAAGTTTTCTCACTTTTACTCCTCTGATTCTCTCCCCTGTCCCATTGTGGGGGGAGTGAGCAAGCAGCTGCGTGGTGCTGAGTTGCCAGCCAGGGTTAAACCACGACACAAGGGTAGGTATATTGGCTGTCCCAAGCATGATCAATGTTCACCTTTGCTTATCTGGGAACTTGCATCCCCTGTAATTTACCACATAATCAGGTTTCAGAGTCTCTTTCTCCCTGGATTTTGTTTCTGGATGAACAAGCCTGCGCTGGGCCTCAGTTTTTTATACCTTTGTCTTTCTCAGCGTTGCTGACTCCATATGGTGTAGGACTGAGTGCTGTCATCATCCTGCATTTAGCACCACGCCGGAGGAAAATGGGTGGCGCATGTGCCAGCTCTCCCCTTCAAAGCAGCAGCTGCTCTTGGCAAGTATTTGTGGAGGAGGTCCCTTGGCTTTTTCAGGAAAGGCCTGGTCTTCCCTGTCTGCCAGTTGCTAAAGCCCCTGAAGCAACCCCAGGATGAATTAATGTAGAGAGGGATGTTATGTAGGAGAGTCAGGGAGGGCTTTTTGTTTCCCCGTGCATTGAGGCGATGTCGTTCAATGATGCTGCATTTGTGTGGATCTTTGGCAGCAGGATCACCCACTCATGCCTGGCCGGCTTTCCACATCGCCGCTGGTAACACTCACACTTTTCTCCACTTTCTTATACACATGCCGGGGTGCAGCATCCATCTGAAGAAAACGCAAGGAGTTAAACGCTCTCCAGTTCATACAATGACTGTGCAGGCACACACACGCTGGTCAGCACTTTCCCTTTAACTAACTCGCCAGAGAAGGAAGAAGCAGGTCTTACGTGTAGATACTAAAAGCAGAACTGTGTGTCCTTGAGGTTGCCTGCTGCTTCTGGCTTCAGAGCCCACCCACTGTGCAGGTAGCATTTTTTCCAAATGACCTATTAACTACTTGGGTATGTATAAATTAACACCAGGAGGGAGCCACAACAAACATCATCAAACAGAAGGGTACCATCACACTCTGTGAAACCCATCCTGTTTCTTCCAGTACATTCCCTCTTCTTTTGGTTTGTATTGCTCTTGAAAGTTGCAGAGTGAACTTTTGTTCGCAGAGCAAAGTTCTCTCTGAGACATGTCATCTATGTTGAGATAACAATATCCTCAGCTGACTCACATCTTTGCTTTATTTTTCACTGGCACGCTATGGCCATCCAGATCTGTACTGGTGGATCGGAGCAGAACTAGAACCTTTGCAAGCAGCTTGCTCTTGAGCAGCTAGATGCTAATGCAAAGTTTCTCCTCCGTGAACCTGTCAGGCAAAATGAGCTCCACAGTGGCACCAAACCACACCTTTGTGTGTAGCCTTCATCTCAGAGTCTGCTCTGGAAAATACACTGGTCAAGGCCCCAGCCAGGTCCTGGCACCTCCAGACAGATGCTATTCCTG